GCACTTTCAATTATAGATGACCAACTTCTGTTTTCAATTTCAGTATCTCCACTGACTTCAGCAGCATCAGCCTAGGTTACTCTTAAGTCAACAAAGCAGAATTTCATGTGAACATACTTTATCTGGTCTTCACTGCCTGGAAATGATACTGCCAAAAGTACAGGTAGGAACAGGAGAGACAGAGGAAAACCCATCTGCTGCATCAGAAGGTAAATAGCTCATGTAAGAGGTACAATATTACTCCCTAAAAGATAATGAGCACTACATACTTTGCAGACAGGCTCTTGCAAGAATGGGGACATGGCGATTCTGACAGTACTTACAATCACCCTACTAGAAGTTGACTAGCACACTACAGAGTACAGACTCAGGTGCCACAGCTAGCCACCCTGCAGAGAAACAGAGCAGGCTTTATTTTGTATTTCCTCAAAGGACAATATGGCTCGACCTCACTAACATAAATGTCAATAAACAGCCACATATTTCATGAAGGTCAACTGCAGTGAAACTTCCAGCAGCCACTCCAATGAGTAATAAGGGTAAACCAGGGCAAATCCTTTTCTCACTAGTTTTGTTCACAGCTGCCTTTGCCACCTTGTGTCAGCATGTCCCCAAGGAATCCACAACAGCTACACAGTGGGCTGGCAGAGGACATTGCAGAGAGACGTTTACCCTCTGTACTCCCCCTCCTTTCTCACCTCCATCCCCTCATTTCCCCACTGCCTCCTTTGTGGGAAATAACAGTCCTCATCATGTTTGCACTGAACAAGCGGACAATTCTCAGATTGAAAGTAATCAGCAAATGCTTCTTAACAACCTGTTCCTTTTACCATCACTTTTCCAACCATGTTACTTTAAAAAAAAACAACAAAAAACAAACACACACAACAAAAAACAACCCCCAAAAATGCCCACAACACTCTCTTCTTCCAATATGATCATAGGCTATTAAGCCAGCCAGGCAATGAAAAATAAAAATCCCCAAACCCTATAGGTTTGTGAGGAGCATTGTTATTTGACCAATTTCACAGAATATTTTGATTGCAGTATTTAACACCCTTTGTAATCTTCTACTCAGTTCTAATAATGAAAATCCCTGCATCGCCGCCAAGGATTTTCTAGACAAAAGCATATCTGGAAGAATGCCATGGACTGAGTCTCCTTAGCTGATCTGCCTTCCCCAAGTTCTTACAAACCCATCCCCCGCACGTAGTTTTTCAATTAAATCTGAAAAACAAGAGTTAGACCGTGCTTTTAGGTAAGGCCCATTCAGAAATGTCTCCCCATCACTCTCAACACCATTCCCTGGTCTACAGTAGCTGCATATTGCACATCCTATGCTCAGATGCATGCATGTTTTGAAGGGAGAAAGCAACTCATTTACACCATTTCAGAAGCAACCTTATTCTCAGTTCTACCATTAGGAGAAGGTGGCATCAACTTAAAGCAAATGGATAGACCTGTAGAATATTGCAAAAGTGTGAGTTTGAGTGAAGAGTTTATGAGTACTCAAGCAATTTCTACTGACGCCAGGAAGGCTTCCTGGAGTTTCTAAGGAAACCCTCAGAACACCTTGGATCTTCAATGGCCATTACATCCTCAGTCTGACCCAAAGGGCTGCCTCCAAAAGAGGCTGCCTCATACACAACAGTGTAGCTAATTTAGCAGCATAATGGAGAGAGCTCTGAAGATGCACATGGGCTGAATTAAGGGCTCCACGGGAGCCTTTGGCTCCATCCTTGCAGAGTTTATTAGTTGCTGCTGCACACATGGTTGAGTTTGCTGGATGAAGTCCAGCTCTGAGGCACCTCTCAATTCCTCCAGCTTCTAAAAGTAGCAAGAAAGTGGCTCAAGCATATTGCCCCTTCTAAACTCTTGTGGAGAAGGACTCTCCCCTACAGAGAAGCAGACAGGGTTTGGGAGGGGTACTTAGTCAAATAACTCTTGATTATTGAATTTACCTCCACAATTACCAGAGAGTATCCCAGAGTGAAAAGGGGTAAATACCAACAGATTGTATTATTTGAGAAACAGTATGTGATTGTGTAATTAAGGGCAGGAATATAATACCATATGCACAAGGAGCAGGGTTAATTTCAGCATTTCCTGATTAACCAAGGGCATTACAGTGTAACCCTAATATTCTCCGCATGGCTATCATTTATATGGAGTTCACATATATACTTATGAACATTTGGTTAAAATTCACCCATCATGCTCTGACACAGTAATTAAAAACACCATGTTAGCTGCCAATAAAAATATTTTTGTGATTTGGTAATTATTCCAAACCTCATAGTCCCAGTTCTCCTACCCCCTGCTCTTGTTTTCTTCCTGTTCTATAATGTATAAAGCTAATCTTGATGATGGAAAAATAAATAAGTAGCAGGGAAGGCTGGAAAGCTTCCAATCACAAAAACTCCCAAAATGGAAGCAACATCCAATCTGGCCCACCACATCTTCTAGGTGGGCACTCCTTTCCTGCCTTTTAGTGATGCTTTCAGTATTCATAACAGCTGTGGAATTAAGCATTATGAACAAGAAGAAACCAACATGCAGTCTTTATTTTTCCCCAGCAGTCCCAAAATATTCTGCATTGAGTTACAAAGTGAAAACCAACATACTCTCAGATGGATTTAATTTCAGCTTGGGCCAAAGGCCAGACAGAGTTTCCCCATTGTTAAAACTCCACCCCATCTTTTCCATACCATGCATACAGACCCATTCTCACCCATCTTCCAAACATGCACACACACAGCACACCAAGGACCAGCCACTCCTACAATATAGAACCAAATCTATCTCCCCTGCTGTCTTAGCTAGGCACATTGCTTTCTCTGGGATGACCAGTAGGTAAGGTGGATTTGGTCTACAATGTGGATTTTTAAATTTTAGGAAAATTAAGGCTACATAAAACATACACTTTCATGTCCTAGATATTGCCTTCATAATAAACCTTTTTTAAATAAAAAGTAATTTTACACAACCAGGAAAATATTTGGTGAAGGAGCCAATTATTCCATTAAAAAAAAAAAAAAAAAGGGTTAAAACTTGACTAAAATATTAATGCTGTAATTCAAAATACAATTTTGGCATAATTTCAGCAAGTGATTTAGCTATGGCATATTGGTGTAGAGAATCATGCAACAAACATGGATTTCAACATACATAAGTATACAGCTTTCAAATGCATACAGAAAAGAGAAAAGTCTAACAGAAGAAGTTAAGTTTTTACATGTACAGACTAGCACCAGGTCACTGTTCATGGCAATTTTCTTTGCTCTCGTCCTCTTCCCATGGATGCTGCATGAACAACTGCACTCTATTTTTATAAAGTGCAGACATGTTTGCTTGTATTAAAGCTAAGGCAAGTAGTGGAAAACAGGAGAGGAGGTAGATTGAATTACTGTGTCTGAATGTTTGTTTTCCCCTCCACCTTGTACCATTCCCCACAAGCAGAAGCAAAAGAAAGATATTAAAAGACAAATGTATAAAATGTTGATTTGTCCCACTTCTTGTTGGGCTCTTGGTTGCAGAAATTTTTTGCCTTCCTCTGTTTGCAAAACTGCAAAAATGCCTCTAATAGTTCAATATGAAGAACCACAGGTTTACTCTCTAAAGAATTAACAACTAGTTGAGACTATGCCTTTTAGTGATGCTTTCAGTATTCATAACAGCTGTGGAATTAAGCATTATGAACAAGAAGAAACCAACATGCAGTCTTTATTTTTCCCCAGCAGTCCCAAAATATTCTGCATTGAGTTACAAAGTGAAAACCAACATACTCTCAGATGGATTTAATTTCAGCTTGGGCCAAAGGCCAGACAGAGTTTCCCCATTGTTAAAACTCCACCCCATCTTTTCCATACCATGCATACAGACCCATTCTCACCCATCTTCCAAACATGCACACACACAGCACACCAAGGACCAGCCACTCCTACAATATAGAACCAAATCTATCTCCCCTGCTGTCTTAGCTAGGCACATTGCTTTCTCTGGGATGACCAGTAGGTAAGGTGGATTTGGTCTACAATGTGGATTTTTAAATTTTAGGAAAATTAAGGCTACATAAAACATACACTTTCATGTCCTAGATATTGCCTTCATAATAAACCTTTTTTAAATAAAAAGTAATTTTACACAACCAGGAAAATATTTGGTGAAGGAGCCAATTATTCCATTAAAAAAAAAAAAAAAAAGGGTTAAAACTTGACTAAAATATTAATGCTGTAATTCAAAATACAATTTTGGCATAATTTCAGCAAGTGATTTAGCTATGGCATATTGGTGTAGAGAATCATGCAACAAACATGGATTTCAACATACATAAGTATACAGCTTTCAAATGCATACAGAAAAGAGAAAAGTCTAACAGAAGAAGTTAAGTTTTTACATGTACAGACTAGCACCAGGTCACTGTTCATGGCAATTTTCTTTGCTCTCGTCCTCTTCCCATGGATGCTGCATGAACAACTGCACTCTATTTTTATAAAGTGCAGACATGTTTGCTTGTATTAAAGCTAAGGCAAGTAGTGGAAAACAGGAGAGGAGGTAGATTGAATTACTGTGTCTGAATGTTTGTTTTCCCCTCCACCTTGTACCATTCCCCACAAGCAGAAGCAAAAGAAAGATATTAAAAGACAAATGTATAAAATGTTGATTTGTCCCACTTCTTGTTGGGCTCTTGGTTGCAGAAATTTTTTGCCTTCCTCTGTTTGCAAAACTGCAAAAATGCCTCTAATAGTTCAATATGAAGAACCACAGGTTTACTCTCTAAAGAATTAACAACTAGTTGAGACTAAAGGTGGTTTCTTCCTTTATTGAGTTTTGTGTTCTTCCTGTATTGAGTTTTGTGTCCTTTACTCTTTAACAAGTAACAAAAGCCTGCCTGCACACTTAGAAGTGCCATAATGGTAATAATGTATAAAATTGTGTTCCAGTTTACAGCTGTAATGAAGTTTCACTAGGATTCCTGTATTCCCTTCAGTAGTGTATGACTAGTCTGAGTGCAAATAAATGGCACGTCCTACCAACATGAACAGAATTCCTGCTAATAATGCAAAAAACACTCCTATGGGAGCCAGCATAAAAGACCAGCCATAGTGTACGTAAACAGCAAAGTCTGGGCAATCCATTTTTTTCATGTTTGTGTAGTTTTCCAGATCAGCCATCGCCTGGACCCAGATGACATACATCACGACTACCAGCGAAAACAAGACACCTGGAAAAGAAACATCAGGTTTAACAACAGAGTGTGAGATAAATGCTGGGCACATTTACTGTAACACCTAGAAAGCCAGCAATACTTGAGGCCCAAATCTGCAAGGCAACAGTCAGCCACCACTGGATAGTATTTGCCTCTGGCTTCTTCCAACAACCATTATCTCCAGCTTGTTTTGCACTGCCAGGCATCATCCCACAACAAAAGATACACCTGGTTTTGGTAGGTAGACTGAAACACGTGTGTTTAGGGACAAAAATCAGGCAGGTATTTCCTGTTTTGAATTCAGGAGACAAGGGAGGGGAAAGGAGGGGACATGGGATGGGATGGCCCGGAAAAAATACCTACTTTGGCTTCCCAGATTCTGCCATTGTTCCTAACAGAGTCTTTTGGATGAAATATGAGAAGGGGAAAGGGGTGGGAAATCTTTCTATCAATCATCTTCACCACTCTACATTTCCTTCTTTTTCTTATGAAAAGGGCTTTGTTTGAAACATACTACCTTCAGAGTATTCTACTAAAATATTTTGCAAACAAATTCAGGTGTAATGAATTAAAAATCCTCCACATTAGAAAATAAATTCCTGATATAGGAAAAAGAAATAACAATAGTGACATAAGAGCTATGAAACAGACTATCAGTATTAACCTCAGATTGGATACAGCAGTTTCCTGGAATTAATCCACCACATAATTCACAGCCTTTTCTCAACCACTCCTCTGAAAGGCCTTCGGATTGTTTACACATGCTAGTAACAGGAGCACATGTCCTTACAAACTTTGTTAATCTCTTTGTTACTATGCACCAGAAGGAGATATAAAAAAGTGCTTCCCAAAGTATCATTTGCATTCCTAATATTTCATTTCACTTTAGAGGAACGTGGACTCTTGAGAAATGCAAGCCTGCAGCACAGATGCTCTAGCAGATCTGAGGGCACAAGCCTGAATTTTTTGCATACTCCAGCCTGTACCCACTTGCTCCCTGAGCTCCAGCTGTCACAGCGCAGTTACAGCAGCAGGACTATCCCAACATTATTTATATTTAGGGAACATCATCCTATCATGTTTTTATCCCAGGATGTTTAGGTGTCTCATTAAAACCATCAACCAGCACATATTACTGGGAACACTTAATGCCAAACTTGAGTCAACAGGCCACAGACTGTAAGCCAAAAGTATTTGCTGTCTCTTCCCCATTCTCCTAAATACTTGGAATGCAAACTTGAATGAATGTGACACTTGTGCCAAAACCCACAAATGCACTTTGTAAGCACCCATGGATAAGCATTTGCTTCCAGAATAATCTGTCCTGGTAAGCTTTCATGGTTATCTTGCCCATCCCCAACCTTAGATGCTGCCTCATCACCTCCTTTCCCTGCCCTTCCTACATGCTTGCAAGGATGCAATGCTTGTCATCACTCCCTCATTTGCTTCAGGCAAAATCGGACAGCTTAGCTGAAGTAGTTTAAATTGGTGAGCTGGTGACATTCTTGTTGGTGTTTTATTGTCAAAATGTAATAGCTTTACATTCTGGACATCCTGAACATCTGGGAGCTGAGAGCTCGCAACTCAATATTTGGGAACACTGCCTTTTGAAGCCCACCAAAAAATGAGCTGAAGTAGTTAACCTGAGGCATAGTCAAAACGTGACTGGAAATCCCAAAGGACCTGCAATTTTTATGAGGCTGACATAAAGGACAAAAACTAAATAAAAAAGGATGCAGACATGTTTCCAGCCTAAGAAATATACTTCCAGGATTACAATTTTTGCTAGGGCTCAAATTTCTAACAAAGTTTAAAAGTTTTAAAAAAAAAACCCAACAATACTCAACTCTAAGAGATACAGATTTAATCTTGAAAGTATTTTACTGAAGTAAAATTCAATTCTGATGGAATTTAGTGTGACTGTATTGAACCTTTAACTGGTGAAACAATCAGTAAGAAAGATCACCTTAGGGCCAGACATAAAGAAGGAGAAATTAAATTGAAGAGTCTCAAAATACAAGTTAAACTGAGTGGAAGATTCCTATAACAGAGTATCTAATGGTAACAGATAATGTAGGAAATACAGGAAAATTAGAACCAAACAGGGTAACTGTTTGGTAACTTTTGATGCAAAAAAAATAATTAAAAATTCAGGGCCAAATCCATAAATGGAGTTATTAGAGACATGAAATTTGTTCAAGGTTTCAAAACTTTAAAAAAACCTCAACAACATAGCCCAAAAATATGGCAAAATCCATATGAACATTGGAATGTAACTCTTCAGATGGCTGTGCCTGTGCATTTTCATGTCACTAGTCTTCTATTTATCCTCTACATCGGGGCATACTTAGTCCAAAACAATAATAACTACAGAAAGTACTGACGTACATTCCCTTTCTGTAGCAGTGTGTAAGTGTAACCAGGCCTTGCACATCTGGAATGCTTTTGACCTCCAGCACCATGGGCAGACACAAAGCTGCATAGCATCTGCCATTAAAAAAAGACTCATTCAGGTGCTTTAATCTCAAAGTGGGCACCTGTCTTTGGGCACTCTGAAGCAACACATTCTAGGTCGTTAAACAAGGTGAAGTGCAAGGTCCTGCACATGGGTCAGGCTACTCCTGAGACAAACACAGGCTGGGTGGAGAATGGATTGAGAGCAGCCCTGAGGAGAAGCACTTAGGGGTGTTGGTTGATGAGAACCACAACACTGAGGGCAACAAAGGTAATTGGGGGATTGGCGCAGCTCTCTTACAAGGAAAGGCTGAGAGAGCTGGGACTCTTTAGCCTTGATAAAGGTTGAGAGGAAAACTTGTGAATGCCTATAAGTATCTAAAGGGCAGGTGCAAGGATGGAGACAGACTCTTTTCAGCCTCCCAGTGACAGGAAGAGGAGCAATGAACGCAAGCTGTAACATAGGAAATTCCATTTAAATATGAGAAAAAACATCTTTATGGTGAGGGTGCCAGAGCACTGGAACAGGCTGCCCAGGGACGCTGTGGAGTCACCTTCTCTGTAGATACTCAAAACCTACCTGCATGCAGTCCTGTGTAATGTGCTGTAGGCAATCCTGCTTTAGTGGGGGAGTTGGACTAGATGATCTGTAGAGGCCCTTTCTAACTCGGACAACTCTATGATTCTATGAGCTGTCAATGTGTGCTTGCAGCCCAGAAAGCCAACCATATTCTGGGCTGCATCAAAGGAAGCATGGCCAGCAGGTCGAGGGAGGTGATTCTCTGCTCCACTCTCATGCGACCCCACCTGGAGTGTTCAGGGGCCCCCAACACAAGAAGGACATGGAGCTGTTGGAGCAAGTCCAGAGGAGGGCTACAAAGATTATCAGAGAGATGGAGAACCTCTCCTATTAGGACATGCTGAAAGAGTTGGTTTTGCTCAGCCTGGAGAAGAGAAGTCTCTGAGAATACCTTATACCAGCCTTGCAGAACTTAAAAGGGCCTACAGGAAAGCTTGGTAGGGACTTCTTACAAGGGCTTGTAGTGATAGGACAAGGGGTAATGGTTTCAAACTGGAAGAGGTTAGATTTAACCTCTAACATTAGGAAGACGTTCTTCAGTGGGAGTGTGATGAGACACTGGAACAGGTTGCCCAGAGAAAGTGTGGCTGGAATGCTTCCTTCCCTGGCAGTGTTCAAGCCCTGGCTGGATGGGGCTTTGAGTAACCTGGTCTAGTGGGAGGTGCCCTCCCATGGCAGGGAGGTTGGAACTAGATGATCTTTAAGGTCCATTCCAGCCCAAACCATTATATGATCCTGGGACTGAACTGGAGTGAATTCCATGTAGATATAAAACAGCCAGCCAGTGCTGCCAGTGGCAAAACAACTTCAGGGAAGCTGATATCCATCGGGTGATTTCACAGCAAGCTGCTAATACCTGTGTGTGGCAAATTGTTGGGTATGTAAATTTGCTAAAGAAATGTATGTCAAGCAGAGATAAATGTCTGTCTTTAAAAGAAAGAAAAAGGAAGAATATGTAAACCCTCTTAGTTAATTAAGGCACTGGAGGAGTATTTAAGGGTTCTCACTATCTGCTAATGGAGGCTAATTAGTAGGTATATTGCTTAGCGTGTTCTTGAAGGGTAGAATCAGGTTAAGTAAAAACCAACCATGTCCTGTTGCCTCCAACAGCATTGAATTCATTAATGCTCCTTTTGTCTAATTTTCACAGAGTTCTGATTTCGTGGGAGTGAAGCACTTTAACAGGAGCTAACTGAGGCTCCTGCATGTTACCAATATTAACAGAGAAAAAAAGAAAACAGAAACATTTCTTAACAGGTAGACTCCCTCTTTTGTCCCTTTGGTTTTGTTTCCTAAGATGTTAGAGTACATTAGAAGCAGCAGCAAGAGCAGGGAAGCAGATCTTGTACTTCTATTATCACTAATGCATCTGCTTAAACTGTTTGATGTTTAGGGCCAGAGGCATTAGTTCCTTCCTATCCACTAAACACTTGAGCTTGTGCTTAAATTTAAGCATATGTGCAAGTTTCTTTGACTTAAAGAGTTTTTCCTCCTGGCATCCACACTGATTGCATCAAAATACCTTCTTCAAAGGCGAGTTAGGAGCTTAATGAATGTTTACCAGAGGTTAAATATGTATCTGATTGTTGGAGTCCAAAAAAAAAAATACTGTTTCTTTTCAGATTATATGATTTCACGGCTGTTTGCATTGTCTTATTTTCACAAAAGGCTGGGATACTAATGGTTCAAGAAAGGTTTGAAGAAAAAGCTGCATCAAGAATAGAATAAAAAAACTTCTGCAGCATACTGAGTCGCATGTAAAATTCAGATACACATAATGTGTGAAGCATTTTTTACAGGCCACAAGGTATCAATTTTGTCTATGCACCAGGAACAGTAATAGTCATGTCAAATAATAGTCAGCACATTATATGCTTTTTACAAAAATATAGATCAAAAGCTCCACTTATCTCCATTTTGTAGAAAGAAAAATGAGGCATAGAAACTACTAATCTGATATTCAGATGTTCTAAGTATCCAA